AAAAAAAAAAAAAAAAAAAAAAAAAAAAAAGAAGAGCATTCTTCTGTATTTTCTTTCCTCGACAATTTTTTCTTTTCTTTTTTCTTTGCATCGAGTTCCATTTTAAGACTTTCTTTACGGAATGGAATGGAAGATTAATGGAGAACGATAACGTATCGATCCGCGCGATGATTGATGATGGCGAAATTAATTAGATTAAATGAAATCGAGGTACAAAGAGGGATTAAAGAGTGTAAAAAACGAGGGTGATAAAGCGATACCATTTTTTCCAATAAACATCCTTCGATACAACTTAATTCTCGACTGACAGTTACATCATGAATAATCTCTTCCTTATCGTTACACTAATTTCAATTTCGATTTTTATATAAGTACGATACGACTTGGATGGAATCTTAAACATTATTTTCTCGCCAATTCCTCAACCCTTACGAACAAAAAATAAAGAAAAACAAACGATTCAAAGATAAGACCAACACAATCAAACTAATCCCCTCTCTTTCCTGACCCTTCATCTTCTCCAAAAATCCCATTGAAAACAATCCTCTCTAGAAGAAGAAAAAGAAGAAGAAGTCGAAGTGAACGATTTTAAAACGAAACGAAATAATTATCCCATCATTCGACACGATGCAACCACAAACGCACAAACACTTGTGAATACAATCGCGTGCGTGTAAGTCGGACGTTGAGTGATGATATCAAGTATATATACGACTGTGTGTCACGGGTCATCGGCCCTCGGATATTCTTGGCAATTCTCTCTCTCTCTCTCTCTTTGCCTGCCTCCCTCCCTCCTTTTCTCTAACTCTCCTTTTATTTTATTTTTCCCTCGGTCTTCGACGACCCCAGCAGCCCAAGAGAGACGAGATCCTCGATATCTCGCATCTCTCTCCCTCCACACCGAGACTTCTTCCTCCTCCTCCTCCTCCTCGCCACCCTCTCTCGATCGCCTTCCAATAATTCGATCGAAGGGACATCCTGCCCTTCCGGCTAACGAGAAAAATCATGGAGAGGGAGGAGGAGGAGGAGGAGGAGGAGAATCGATCCTTTCCTGTCGCTCTCTTTTCTCTTCAAGATTCTTCAATTGGAACGTTGTCAGGGGAGTGTAAATACGTTTCGAAGGGTAAGAAGAGAGAGAAAGAGAAAGAGAGAGAAGTGTTTTTATTTTGTGGATTATTTTCGAGTTAATTGAAATTAATTTCTTTCCAATTGTTTCATTTCATTCACTTTAATTATCCTCGTTCGAGGATAAGGATTTTCTACTGTCGAGTTACTTTTCCACTCGTGAAAAATATTTTGGAAAGCGAATTTCTAAAGAATTTTATTCTCGAATGTATTTATTCGTCAAATTAAGGAATGGAATATGGTGGGATATTTGGCAACAATGGAGGGGGAGGGGGTTTGAGATTAGTGAGTTTATATAGGGAAGGGATTTTTAGGGATTTTTGTGAATGAACTTTAATTTTTTATCGCTTTTCAAGATTTTTAATGTTTTATTTCTTATGAAGTTGGTTAATGAGATACAGAATAGAGTGGAACAGAATATGAAATTAAATGAAAATTGGTTTTGAGATGCTGTGAAGATTCTTACTCTCCCCGGTGATTTCTTTTTCCAAGTATTTTTAATTTTAAATAAGTTTAAATATATCGTAATTTTACAAAATGAAAAATAAAAATAAAAAATTGAAACTTTGCACCATCTCGAATATTAATTTCTCGAAAATTTCAAACTTCTTGTTATCAATCCAAAATGAAAAGGGTTGAAAATGGTATTACCTGTCCAAAATAAGCACAGGAGAACAACGAAGGAGGGTATGCTCGGGGGAAGAATGAATTCGATGTTACGCGTTTCTTACCTGTAACAAAAAAAGAGAAGAGAAGAGAAATTATAAAATTTAAAGAAAGAATTGTTGTTTGTGCGAGACAAAAAAATGGGTGTTTCAAGTTCAAAGTTAGTGGATTCTACGAAGCGAGGAATGCTGCAAATACGAATAAAACTCGATACGATAAAAGCTATAAATAGAACGAGAACGATATAAAGCTTATTCTAATCTTTTTTTTCTTTCTTTCTTTTTCTCGCTGATATTTTTCTTCTCCACCGAGATTCTTCCACTCCAAGATCCGATCGAAAATTTTTTCAAACAAAAATTCAAATTCATTCCAACGTTTTACTCCTATAATTAAAATCGAGATCGTGTCGATTAAATTTCGAATATTTATTTTAAATAATAAAATAACAAAAGCATAAAGTACATAAATAGCACAAATGTATATTCGAAAAAAAATAGTAATTCTATAATTTGTTTAGAGAAATTTATGTTTGAAGAAAATACGTGAAATTATTACCATTTATTGGTTTTTAATGGAATGGACAAGAAATTTTTGCAAATTCGCAATCCGTTTCCTGATGTAAGAAACGAAAGGCACGATGATAAAAGAGAGGAAAAGGGATGATAGCCGAGAACGTCGAAGATTCATCACGTGAAATAACCGAGAAAAACAGAAACGAGAGGCATTAGTTATTCCGGACAACGAGCGGCCATTAAAATCGCAACGCGTTCGAGTAGCTTCATCATCGTCATCGTGATAGATTATGGGCAAAGAATCACTGTGTTCGCCGTTGAAAACTAAAACCTGTCGTTTACACGCTTCGTTTCAGGTACGTGGAAAAATAAAGAGTATTAAAAAAAAAAAAAAGAAAAGAAAAAGAAAAAAAAATTAAAAATATCGAATTTTTGTAGACATTGTGCATAAAATCATCTATCATTCATTAGAACGATTAAAAAATAGGATGATAAAGACGTTTCGAATATTATTCTTATTAATTTATGTATAATATATAGGGTCTATTTGGATGTTTATTATAAATGTTAATTATAAATAAATAGGATAATATAGAAAAAATAAAATATTCAAGATAACAATAGTAATAAATAAATATTGGTATAATTTTCTTTAGATAAGTGTTTAATATTAAAGGGTATGAACAATCTGTGATGTCGCGTTTTCCGTAGTTTTATTCTACTAGCTTTCTATGTCGGTCGAAATATGCTTGACATTTGTTACTAGCTTTTCTTTTTCTATTAGAAATTCTTTTTTTTCTTTTGCTATCATTAAAAGATCTTTGTTAAATATTTTATGATACAGAATTTTACCATTTAAAATTTATTTGTATTTTTATAATTAAAATATTTAAAGTATTTTGCTTCTAAAATTATAGGCAATAATTTATAATTTCATTGTTAAAATTACATGTAATTTTTTGATCATTAATAAAAAAAAAAAGATAAATTTTGTTACAATTCCAATTTTGTGGTAGTTCTGATCATTTTCAAACATTAAAACAGTTAAATTCGGATATCTATAGTTTCGAGCAAGAGTAAAAGAATTCTTATATATACAAAATTGTTTTTTTTATTAAATTTTATATACAAATATTTATATTTTTATATAATATATATAACTTATATATCTTTTTATATTTTCAGATATCGTGTATGAGTTTTATATACATATATATACACATAATAAAATTTTATCAAAATATTATATCAAGGCAATATTACACGTGATCTTATTCCTTGTTTTGATAGAATTAAAAAAGGATTTTAAAATGTTCAGTTGGAAAAAATAAGTGAAAAGAAGCATTCAAAAGTAAGTATAAACTAGGTAGTATAATTTAAATGGTAAAGAATGATATATTATAACAATATAAATTTTTTATATGTTGATTCGAGAAGGAATTATAAAAATTAATATCGATTTTTTAAATAGAATCATACGTTTTTTTAATGCTGCATTAAATACATCTCACCATTCTCTATAGAAAAGTATTAAAGCCCATATAGCAAATAATTTCTAATTTAAAAGATATTTAAATTTAATTAAATATCTTTTAAACTAATGGTTTTTTGTTATGAATGGTTTAATATTTCCTTTTTTTTATAGAGAATATCGAGTTTATTAATGTGGTAAAAAACATAAAAAAACTAATATCATTATAACACATCATTCTTTATCTTTCAATATAATAATACATCCTATACTCCATCCTATTCCTCATCCCATATTCCTTATCCTATATTCCTATCTCATCCTATATACTCTCAATCCTTTAGAATTAAGTAAACTGTTAAAAAATGAATAATTAGTTGAAAATATGGGTGACTTAAAAGGTAAGTATAATAAGGTAAGTATAAAAGGTAAGTATAAAAGGTAAGTATGAAAAAAATATTAAAAATTACATATGCCACCTTTTTCATGATTATGTTATCCTGATAAAAATACTATAAAATTGGCAAAAATATCAGCCTTGAAATTCTAGGAAAAATATGTGCAACCTCTTATTAAATTATACTTTCCTAATACAAAGTTAAATATTCGACCAAAAATTTCTGATTCCTCAAAATTGGACTTTGTATCAGGAGAACATAAGCTGAAAGGAGGTCGTTCGACAAATTATTCCGAGAATTTCGGCAGTTCTTGGGAATGACGTCAAATTCTGAGAATTTCTAAAATTCTTGGAAATGACGTCAAATTCCTGGAATTTTTCGAATAGATGAAACGAAAGAGACTTTGGCTAAAAATTCGATTTTGTATTAGGAGAACATGATATGGCAGGAGGTCGATCGAAAAATTTTTCCAAGAAATGATGTCAAATTCTAAGAATTTCTAAAATTCCTGGAAATGACGTCAAATTCCTAGAATTTCTAAAATTCTTGAAAATGACGTCAAATTCCTAGAATTTCTAAAATTCTTGGAAATGACGTCAAATTCCCGGAATTTTTCAAATGGTTAAAACGAAAG